TTGTACGCGGATCACGTGAGATTTCACCCGTGTCATCCCTATATAGAGAGTCTACCGACTCTCTAATACTGTATGTTTTACATCTACTTTTTAAAACTAGTGCCCACTATCAGAGGATCTTGTGTGAATCGACATGTAATAGAATGAGTTGTACCGTAACACTTCCCTTGTACCTGTACGGCAGCTTTCTAGTAAAATACGTGTGCAGTACATGTCACCTAACCTCATCACCTCTTGTTTCTCTTGAGAGAGCCAGTTCTTCTGATGACGAGCTCCTTCTTGTTACCAAACGAGTCACTTCTCTTCACAGGAGCCTCCTTCCCTGTCTCCCTCACCGACGACTTCTTCCTGGATATATACACAGGACAAGAGTTATATATATACCTGGCTGTATGTAAGTCCAATTAGAGTATGGAAACTATTATAGGTAACATGTAGGATGTCAGTTAGGGCAATTTTAGCATAATTATGAACAACATGGCAATTAGCCAAACCTTTGGGAAAAGGGAAATTTTGATCTTACCACTAATGGAGGATTCAATTGTGTTGACAAAGCAGTTTTCCACTCTATTACAATGTAGTATGTGAATGTGTAAATCGATGCATAGTGCATACACATTCAGTGTGTATATAGAGTGAAGTGTGCTCATAGGAAAGAGGGCACGGTAATGTGGATAGTATATACCCACTTGAAAGAGAGGGGCCTTTGAGTGATCCTTGTCTCTTGAGTGTCCGTTGTCCTTCTCCATCTCCCTCCTGGTAGAGATCTGCCTTTCTGAAGTGGTAGGGCAGTGGCAGGATGGCCTCATGCAGTGGCAGAGAATCTGCACAGCAGACAGGAGACACGGAAGGACGATGGGAGGGAGGGAGGGAGGGAGGGAGGAAGATAGAGATTTACATATCACATTAGAATAAAAAATGTTTTGGACACATTGTTTAATGTGTGTGGATGAGATAAAGAAAACGCAACAAGATGCATCACTTTCAGCACCTTTATAAACATGCATATATACCCAACCTGTGTGCACGTAAAAACTTCCAGTCAGAGTATTGTTTGACAAAGATGACATCCAGTTCCGTACTGATCCAGTAACTGAAACGTGCATGTTGTCACAAGGGTTTCTTTGGTTGTGAATCACATCTGAATATAAACATGTCGTGTTCACAGCAATAGTGTAGGGGGTAGCATACAGTATCTGTTATGGGGATGCCCCGCCATATATAAATTTTTGTAAAGGTGGCCCGATGTTCAGAATTAGGGGTAGCTATATGCACCTTTTTAGGGACGTTTTAGTGCATCCCTGGTGACTTTAAGATGAATATAACTGGAGAAGCATTGGCATAATAGAGATCTCATGCTGTTTGTAGCAATTTCATGGTTTGTGAATTTAACGAAATCCCGAAAATATTTTTACAGAGAATTTGGTGTAGGGTGCACTACTCGTGTCCTATTGAGGGATAAAATAATTATATTTTTGTTACACATAGGCGTGTTGCTCTAAACCAACCTCTGGCTCCCTGGCGTAGTAAGGAGTGCAGCATGTCGGCCCAGGCAGTCTTGATACTGGTGTCAGGTGATAGAGGTTGGAGGACATAGAGATAGTGGGCCGAGGTGGGGGGACCAGGGGAGAGGGCAAATCGATCCTCCTTGGCCTTGTAGGTCTCCATTGGTGGTCAGGTGGAGGAGGAGGGAGGAGGAGGTAGAGGCAAGAACAGAGAGAAAGAGAGAGAAAAAAAGTGGAGGAGAATGAATAGATTGATGGAAAGACGTTCATGATTTGTGTTTTATTATTGTCTACTTTAACCCCTTCCTTTTTTTAACTCCGCATTGAATCGATAAGATTTTTTTGTTCCTTCTGGTCTGTCATGACCTTTGTTGAGAGAAAGAATGGAGACAAGGAAATGAAGGTACGTATATAGCACCAAGATGATGAGGGAAAGGAGAAAGATAAAGAACTACGCACATAGTAGTAAATACGACAAAAAATTCCAAGCACCTCAATATGTTCCCAGTAGTCATACTCCTTGCCCCCCCCCCCCATGAGATCCGCAGAAAAGACAATGTACTGTCGGTCGAGGAAAACGACCATTTCCCTCACCACCTTCTTCTTCTCCGTGGTGTACATGTTGAACTCCTCTGCCATCAGGTGACTCGTTTTGTCTAACGAGATGGGGCATGCATCCCCTCAGTTCGGCCATCGCCATAGCATTGTTGGTAGCAGTTCAATCATACATTTGCCAAGATGTGAATATTGTCACACACAAACACACGCATGCACACACACACACAGCAAAAGTTAAAGAGGAAGTAAAGATCCTTCAGTGACTGATATAAAAGGGTCCTATATTATAGCTGAGTATATAGTGACATTTCGATGACCCACCACGGCCACCACGATCGATTCAGGATGATCCTGTGCATGCACGTGAAAGGCGGTGACCGATCCGCGAAGATGACGACAGACCGATCCATGTTGATCGATCTAAGATGACCGGTCCAAGACGATCGGTCCAAGATAACCAATCATCGATCCTTGATAGTGCATAAACGATCCAAAATGGGGCATTTAGTTCGTTTTTCTCGCCTCTATTTTGATGAAATACGTCAATCCGCGATGAGCTATTTTTGTCCAGAATAACCTTCCATATCAAAACCAGTAAGTCTGGCCTAGTTGTGTGGCAGTTTTTCATTGCAGATTTGTTGAGCTTAGCATTATAACACACACACATACACAGAAAAGTGGTCAATACAGACACAGACACACAACACCATTAGTTATGCTATTGGTGAGATGAAGAATTCAAGGAAGAGAGATATGAGTCCAGTGCAAGTGGTTGAATTATTCTGCGAACGTCTTCCATCTCTGGTCCATCTGAATCATAATCTGTGACAGGTAGAGCAACAATAATTATTTGCATTGCTTTAATACACAGTGGTTCACAAACCCCAGGGGTAGTTAGTGAAAAATTTTTTTATGGGTTTGCTGAATCAACAGCCTTGTGATTATAACAGTCATAACCACACCCAGGATTGCAAATTGCAGCATGCACGAAATTGTACTGTTTTTTTTGGCTTAGAATGGGACCCTGTGATAGGGGAAGACCAATTACACCACATAGCTATATAGTAGCTGTGGGAGCACACTCACCAGGTTCGTCAGTGATGGTGAGCGGAAGCGAGGGCTGACTGAACCTCCCACACCCGACCTCATTCATGGCACATACTCTGAACACGTAGGCCACGCCCCTCTCCAGGTTCTCCACCACGTGCGCTGTACTGGTGATGTCGTCGGCCACCTGGGTCCACGACTTGGTACTGGAATCAGTCCGTCGGAGCTGGAGCAGGTAACGAGTGATTGGGCAGGGGCCGTCGCCACATGACAACCAGGAGACGAGGGCAGAGTTGTAGCTCCCGAGAATGACCCCGTTGACCTCTGTGGGTGGGGGAGGGGGTTCTGTGTAGAGACAAACATAAATGGTCAAAACCTATTCTCAGCTCATTGCCATCATTATGTTGCGATGCAGCCTGTTACTTTGGTAATAATTAGGCTCATGCGTCTTTTTGCTAGGTCTAGGTTCCTGCTAAGTCAAGACTACACTTAAGAGCATGTTGAAGGAGACATGTTCTCAGTTAACATGTGTCACTATCTCTATGTGCATCATGAGCTAGGTCTAGAATGCAAATACTCAAGGCATCGATACTCAAGGCATCGTCACATTGTTGAGGCATAATTATTCTGACTGTGTCAACACACATAGTAGCATTGAGCTGACCTAGTAGTGTTATCTGACACTCCTGCACTGTGTTGCCAAGATGGTTCATTGCACAGCACACATAGAGCCCTTCGTCTTCTCGTGTGACCTCCTGGATCGTTAGGGTCGTCACCCCCTCGTTAGTGGTGATAACGACCCGGTCGCCAGTGGCCAAACGCTGAGAGCCTCGTTCCCAGACCACGTTTGGTTCCGGCTGACCAGATACTTGGAACTGGAACGAGACGGTGGAGCCCCGGGCCGCATTTACATCCACGTCACTATCAGGATACAGTGAGGGAGGTACTGTGGAGAGAGGTGATGTTTGATAAGTCTTTGTGTCATAATTTGCATCGTAGGAAAAGCACTCCTGCAAATCACACTTTTACACAAACACTATATTATGGAGGCAACAGTACGCTGAAATCAGCTCAAACTTATGTTTATACAAGAGTAATGTACACAGCCTTACGTTCTTGCTTGCCGAGGAGCTCTTCAAAGTCAGGAGGAATGGGAGAGAAGACGGCAGAGCGAGGGCCAAACACTGCCGTGGCATCAGTGGCTACTGCAGTCGTCTAGTGAGCAACACACATATAGCTCAGAACACATGAGTTTATGATGAACACTTGTATGTATGTACTATAATGGTAGAATCTTCATGTCAACAAAAAGAAGAAAACGTTGGGCTGCTGCCACATGAAACGTTAACAAATTTGCTGCTGTGATTAATCATGTACACACCAACTACAATGTAAGCTTTTGGACACATTCAAAAGTGAAACCTCTGAAGAAGGACCCTCCAAATAAAGGACACGTCTCTATAAGGGAAACCTAATACATTATTGTATTATACAGCCTCTAAACCCGCTATCTCCTTACCAGTATATACCAGTTCAAGCACTGATTTTTTCACTGAAGGTCTTCAATTTCGCCGGAGGTGTGCACGGACATCAAGCGATCGTTTCTTTCTTGCTGCTAGTCACTAGGGTAGATCATGGAGCTCTTCCATGGTCGACCTGAATAACGCCATTTGCTGCTTACTCAGCATCAGTGAGCCGCGCGCATGCGCCAGGCATGGGCGTTGTCCAATGCGCTAGCGAGCGTATTACCAGGCGAGCGAGTTGGCAGACCTGCAGAGGAACTCTCAGCCTCCAGTACCTTCTGTAAGTAAGTGTGCACATTTCCAACTGGCTGTTGATTTGCACGAAGAGCAACTTGCCAGAGTCTGCGCGGTGTTACGCGAGCCTTGCGGGGCGCTCAGTCAAATGGGCCTTCATTGTTTGCCTGATTACCAAAGCCTGCCAATGAAACCACAACCATGCAATAATCTAAGTTCATCCTTGTTGAAGACAATACATGAGGTGAATACGGTATCTAGCCCCTGCTTCAGGCACTAGCAGCCCCATTAGCTACTACTTTCAACAGTTACAATTTGTCTATGGTAGCCTATCTACAACATAGCTACATCAGAGTGACTGTAACAATATAAATGCAGTGTTGTCATAAGCTGTTAAAAATAGTGGAAACAAGTGGAAAAATCATTTCTTCAAAATGAAAGGGGGATATAGGGATGGCTTGAAGCACCAAAAAGGAAGAAACAAGGGGTCATTACACAGCAAAGTTGCACAAAGCTACATGACACCATCCCTATATCTTTGTTGTTATACGGCTCTGCAATAGAGGTTTTCTTGCATGTATACTTAGCTCCGGGGAAACTTTGCTTATAAACAATAAAACAAAGATATAGGGATGGTGTCATGTAGCTTTGTGCAACTTTGCTGTGTAATGACCCCTTATTTCTTCCTTTTTGGTGCTTCAAGCCATCCCTATATCCCCCTTTCATTTTGAAGAAATGATTTTTCCACTTGTACAATTACACATGCGCATTTCTCCTGTACCACAACCATGGGGCAGTCTGCACCATAAATACAAAAACAACAAGGCTGAGTTAAACAAAGTGGTGCTCAAAATCACTAGTACACGTCATACTACATGTACGTATGGTGGTAATTTTTTAATGTAACTGGGTATGAGCTGGTTGCTGACTTTTCTGCCAGCCATAGCCGACTAGCTACAATTTAATTCAGCATTGCACCCCTTTAATTTTAATTCTTCTTTTGTCAAATTATTGTACGTATTTTTAAACACTAAAAACAACGTGTAGTATAAATTACACACACATGTCAATAAAAGTCACAGTCTTTCCTGCATCACGGTATCTCCTGATATCCACTGTACCTTCTGGAGAGACACTGTCTCACACCATTTGCCATGTCCCTCAATGCGTCCTTGCAACCAGGGCCATTGAACTCATATCCAAACCTTGTCAGTGTGTGTTTGGTCAAGGTATAGCACGCCCACAGAGCCACGAGAATGTGTGGTGTAAGAAGAGTGGCAATAATTGTCAGTTCAAGTCTGTAGGTTCCAACAGACAGTTCATTTCTCCACAGATATTCTTCACCCATCAGAATTCCACAAATGGTGATATAAACACTGAGGGAGAAGTTTGCAACCGCTGATCTGCAAGGCTTAATGTATGAGACTATACATGCTAGCATTATGCACGTGACTTCTGCTGGAATGAAGTATGGATAATGAATGAGTCCAAGAAATTGATGGACTACAGTGAGCACCAAGAGAACAAATACGGGTGCTCCTGCCAGTGCTCTGTAGTCACGAGTTCCATTGAGACCATCTTTGAAACAGCTGTGGAGAGCCTCAGCAAATGCTGTGATGGCTAGTCGCTTCCTGGCACTCAGAAACCTTGACAGATATCGGTACACCCTTGTTGGGTATATGCAGAGAAGAACAGAGGGAATCACTGAGACTGATATGAAAGTAACTGCAACAATAAGTCCGTAAGTGACGGACTGGTAACTAGGCCAGTCTACTGTTGGAGCAATGTAAAGAACTTCTTTTTGAAAAATTCCAATGGAGTTATACAAGCTTGCCATTCCGCGTATTTGAGATATAGCAGACAACGCAGAATTACCTGAGAGAAAGATAAGTGACGCTAAAGCTTGAAAGACACAGACACTAGCCACTTCTGTGGTTTTAGTCCTACTGAGAATGCTCCTAAAGGGCTTCAGCACAGTTTTAACAATTCTATAGTTTCTTGCATGCAGTTCCATGAGAGTACAAGAGATGAAGAAGAGAAAAAGTGAGTAGACAGCTGGTACAAAATTGAGCATGTGGACATGAAGGTCGGTTAGTTTATCACTGATACAAAATGGTGGTAACGCAGCTGTAAGGAATTGCAGGCTCCAAAAGTGAGTTAAAGTCACTGAAAAGCGAAACAGAACACCCAGAAAAGAAGGCCCGTGTGATTGTATGTAGTCGTAAACACATTTTCTGTAATTTATGCCTGTTACCACCGTCTGGCAGAAAAAGATGTATCCCAACATTGGGCCTGAGGTAATGTTGAAGTGAAACACAACTGAACATACAAAAATTATAATCGTTGGAACAAATTGAAGAAGCAGATATAGAGTAATGGCATATCCTGACCGAATCGTTGAACAATTAGCACATTTCAGATCAAATGAATTAACTGCAGGACCGTAACCATCCTTACACTCCCCACACAGCAAACCTCTTCTGTTGTAAGGACCACACATTACCTCATCCAACTGACTAACATTCGTGGGCATCTCTGAGTACATTCTATTTATACTGTTGACAGTATTTCTGAATGGACAACGGCCAACATAGTAGTAACCTTCCTGACTTGAAGATGTTGCGCATGTACCGTGGTCAATAACTGCCAGGTTGCCATCGATGCTACAGCCAAGCTTGAATCCACACTCACAGTCTCCTGTGGCATTATTGTAGTAGTGCCAGGTTGGGCAACTGGTGTTAGTTGCCGACGCGGAGCAAGCAATCAGATTCACTGCTAGAATTTTGAAGAAATAGCTGGACCAGGTTCCCATATTGCCTGTCACACCTTCAATCTGGACTTTCCGTTTGGAGTGACAAAGTTATAAAGGCAGAGTCTGTTGTTTTTCTCTTGAAAAAAAACAATGAAACATGATGGAAGCAAATGACAAAACAACAACAACAACACCTGAACCGGTCCATTTTAGGGCACAATCTCATACATGTGTCTTGGGTAAAGGCTATTTTGCTTTTCATTTCAATTTATAAGGTGTGTTTGAACTTTTAACCGCATAATTTAGCACAATATATACGTATTATAGCCACATGCTTTATTGCTACTGGTTGGTAATTCTAGCAATTTTGCCATGTCCCATAATTTCCGAGCACGTTAGCGTGAGGCAACTACTCCCGGGTTGTATTCTTGCATGTACGTACGTGTCCGTCACGTCTTAAGAATGTCAAATAGTCACGCTTAGGGAATGTCACGCTTAAGAATGTCAATTTGTCACGCTTAGGGAATGTCAATTTGTCATGCTTAGGATTGTCAACTTCCGTCATTCGTAGGAAGTCTAGCTTCGCGCGTGCAGTCAGTAGAGCGCGCGTACACGCGGCCTCAGTCGGACTGGCTAGCAGGCGCGAGGCAAAATATGCGGCGTGCGCATTCCTAGTAATTAAGAAGAGGCAATAGGGCTACCTGACAGGAATCAAACTTGCATTCCACTGTGTAAATGCGAGGCACGTGTCTGGTATGATAAACTGCAGAGTATGGTCCGATAACTGTGTACCCAGCTTAGTGCCTAAGTGATAATTTCGAGACTTTATGCTTCTTGCTAAAACTGCTGAAATTATACCTTTTATGTGGCGTACTGTTCTGTTTTGGAGGCTAAAACTGTCACTTGAAGTAAGTATAGTTTTGTTTTTTTTCAATCAGTGCATTTGCGAAGTCTCTGGAAGGGCTAGTATTGAGTCTATGTGTTGTCCTGCATAGATGTGTGTTACAGCACACTGTTTCAGCATAATAATGTATGTGTAGTACTGTACCATCTATTGTTTCACGCTGCACGACCAGGTGTGTATATATACATATAGCTAGTGATCAACATTGCACAGGGCTTCCCTATGTTTTCTTTTGTGCTTTTGCTTTCCTGTGTAGAGACATTCAAGGGCTACTGTTTGCTTTCCTGTGTGGAGACATTCAAGGGCTACTGTTTGTACTTGCAACTCCTGATATCCACTGTACCTTCTGGAGAGACAGTCTCACACCATTTGCCATGTCACTCAATGCCTCCTTGCAACCAGGGCCAGGGGAGAAGATCAACAATGTTGCGCACTCGGCTCTTGTACGGCTGGAAAGCTGCATGCAGAACGATTATAACTAAAAGAATCAGTTCCACTCCAGCATAATACTCCACCAGGTTACCCACAGTGACATCTAGCAGTGGGATGAGGACACGGTACAAGAAATAGAGCCCGGCAAAGAAACGGCAGTTGTCCCTGAAGGGGTTCTGTACAGAGTCAAGGAGTTGGATGGGCATCATTCTCCACAGTCTCATGGCAAACGGAGACTCACTGAGACTACACAGTCCCAGCAGTCGGAAGAACAGAGGATAGAAGAGGAGCAGGACTGGTGGGAGGGCAACTATAAGCAACATAAATACTATTGCAATCATCGCATACTTGAGGTGTTCTCCACTGAAAGGCTCCATGTTGCCACTGTGTAGGATGACATACTTGAGGCAGTTGTGGTCCTTATCAAAGATACAGGTTGAAACAAGAACCTTGAAGCAGATGTTTACACACTGAGCGTAGCAGAGGATGAAGAAGGCAGATATACCATTCACGACAGAGTAGCGTCGCCTCAAAAGACAGGGAAAATATTTGACGATTCGACGATGTTTCAGCACGCACACAGTAAGAAGCACAAGGCTGAGAGCAAAGCAGATGGAACCAAGCTTGACCATCATTATGTCCATGACATTAGCACCCTTCCATATGCAAAAAGCTGTTTCATTAGTTTGAAGAAACTCCAAGTTGAAGATGCCATAGACGTACCTGAACCATCCAAGAGTCTGAAATAGTATATGTGGTAAACGAATAGTTCCATTTCCGTATAGATAGGAATTGTGTACCACTTGGGTAAAGAGTAGGAACCCATTCCAGTCACTGGCAAAGTTCGCATCAAGCAGTGTTATCACCAGAAACAGGCATGTTAGTGGTGCAATTGTCGAGAGGATGAAGTAAAGTGGACCGAGAGAACAGTTGTCTTCGTTGCCGCAGTAGTAGTACCATGAGTTGTAGTACACAGAGTGATTGGCAATGCAGCTACCACATATGGTGCCAGTCCTTGCGGGTGAGCAAACAGCCTTTTCCAACTCTTCTACCTCCATGGGGAGTGGATGGTACAGTGACCTTGTACTGTCAGTTGTATTGTAAGAGCAGAAACCAACGGGGCAATCAGCTGTACAGAGAGTTTGATGGTCACATTCTCCCATCCACACTCCATAGCGGATGTATGCTTCTGGATCACATTTCAGCAGTCCATAGTAGGTATATGCACTGCAGATGCACTTACTGTCACTCAGTACATAACCAGGAGGACACTCTTCCAAAACAATCTCCACTAGGAGGGACGTTTCAGTCGATAGAGCATCCAAACGCAGGGTACTATTCTCTCCAGGTTCCCC